AGAGAATAGATGGTAAAATCTCAGAAAAGCATTACCAATGCTATTTAGGTTTGTGCTACACTTTGAGGCCAGCCATCCATCGGCTTTCTCAATAGCAAGAGAACAGAGATTCTGCACATCACTGGCTATTGAGAGCGTGCTGACTATTCCCCGTGCCATTTTGGCTGAATCATTCACAGGACCCACCTCCGTCTCCAATTTGTCCTTAGCTTCTTTGACAATTTGATGGAGTTCTTTAAACGTGGAAGTCCCTTCCAAGAGCCTGTAACTCAAAAATATTCTATAACAGAGAATATCTACACGACGAGCATCCTTAGCTATAGTTAACTGCTTCTTCCAGCATCTGCAAACAATATTCATGACATATAGCCTCTCCCAAAACCCGAAAAAATGAAGTAAAAAATTACTTCTAGGTGCACATCTTCTTTTCTACGCTATATCTAAGCTTAATTCACTCTGTGGAACAATATACCCATCACTTGGAAACTTAATGGCAAGGCCATCTGCCATCCTACTTACCGCTGAAAAAAGATGCACAAGCTTTTAATTGTAAGTGACTACTACGAGAGATGCATTTCAAGACATTCATGAACATCCAAAGGGTGACTTCCACAAGACAACCTCACCCGCAATCCAATGATGATGATCCCAGGAAACTCATCTCAAAAGGAGCACTTGGTGACTGCACTTTAAATGTAATTTTCTACAAGTGCAAGACCCAACGCACCCCCCAACACACCACTGTACTTAGAAAGATACCAGGTCCTCTTGTTGCACTTAAAACGTCAATATTCGAGTGATTTTCCTCCAATTTTACCAACTTGTCGCCATCCTCCTCATCAAGTTCAAGAAATTAATTATACTCTACAATAATTACAATATTTTACTAAAGCCTATTTCATTGGTCTAGCTAAAGAAGAAGGATGGGGTTCATGTACTAAAAATAAATAATAATAATAATAATAATAATAAAACATGTTAAAAGAGAATAACTTACCCAAGTATCTCAGAAACATTACCACAGGAAGCACAGCAATAGCTTCCATCCAGCTGCATCAACTGTCCAAGATTAACAACACCCACCTTCCCGCATTGGAGGGCACATTCAATGTGGCAAGATAAGCCACAAGAGTTCCCCAAACCAGATCCAGACTTGCATTCCAACCAGAGACTTGGATCCTTATTGTCGTCAAATAAATGACAAATGCAACAAGAGCACCTCTTGCAAAATTTGTCGTCTGTTGAAATAGTGGCTCGACATGCAGAATTTATACAGATAGATGAATTAGGACATTTAGTATCAGCATATGGCTCTGTGGCTGGTGGAATTCGAACTGGGTTTTCCCCTTTCCGTCGTTTCCTAGGAGGCTGATCCTTCAAACTGGAAGAAGCTCTCTTGGGTTCCTGAACCTTTGATGTGTTCTTACTAGCCATTGAAGCATTCATTTTCCCAAAACTTCTTTGCACAAAAGATGAAAGAGTTGACCACCAAAAACTGCAAAAAAATTAATGGCATTACCATATGGAAGTGCAAATAGCAATCTCAATAGAAAAGGATAAAGATAAAGTTGGATATCCACATACACAGACAGAAACACATATGTGGAGGCAAAGTAACTCAGCAGGTCGAGAGGATCATCTAATAACATTCAATTGATAACAACCAAGCAAGAAGAGAAGAAAAGGATAGCAAGAAACAACACATAACAAATATACTAAGAAATAGATTTTTACTAGACCATATAACTTATTCCTGCACTTGCCAAGAAAATGGGAGAATGTATAGCATTCTTAGGCTAAATTTTGAGTTGCGGCAAGGTAATTTTAACATGATTTCGGCTAGAGGGTTTTGATTTGATTATTGCTTCATATTTCATAAACTCATAACCACTATATCCCCCATTGAATGCTTCATTTTCTTTCCGGGATGTCCATAAATAGTCCTCCATTTCCAAAAAAAATTACTTTCCAAAAATACGTTTACTTATAGGATGGAACGATGTAAAATGAAAATGATTCCTTGCTATTAGCTTAAATCAAATATCAAGATATTGAATTCACATGTATAACACCGTGTCAATTCATTAGTGAACAGGATAAGTAGCAAATACAACAGTATAGATGTATTCCATATATCTAGATCCAAGATGGGCAATTTGATTTGTGATCTCTATGCATACGCCTTGATGATCACAATCCAATTATTTTGACAAAATAATTAGTAAGTACCAATATGCCATCAGAGCCAAAGTGACCGTGTCTAACACATCCGACAAGGACATGTGCCAGCACAACGGTGGAATGTCCTGCTATGTGTTTTATGTGTTCATAGAACAGAACTAGTTGCTGACGGGCGATGCAAATGCAGTTAAAATAATCAAAACGAAAAAAGGAAAATGAGAAACTACCTGAACAGGAAATGGCAAATTGGGCACAGAGAGAAGGCGGTTGGGAATAAGAGGAGATATTCCTAGATGGAAGAGGAAACCTTGGTGTAGCGCTGTAGGTTCTAGGGAGAAAAGAGGGCAGTACTGAATAAAGAGAAACCCTAATCAGGATCTTTTAAACAATAAAGAAGCGTTGTTTATTTATAGAAGTGCCACATGTCTTTCAGGTAAAAGAAAAACACGCCTACAACTTCACTTAAAACAACATGAACAAAATTGAACAAACAACATTTTATTAGTCAAAAATCATGGAAGGAAGACCAATTGAAACTTAAATATTTAACCTTCCAGCCTTGAATTGAAAAGAGTGCATAGAACATTTATAGAAGCTGTAACTAGCCTTCCTCAATTCCTATTCTGCTTGTTTTGCATTCACTTCAGCTTCCTCAAAATATTCCATCTCCATTTCAAAAACTTGTTAGCAAGGAGATGATAATATATCTAAGCCGCCTTGGAAATACATGATAACATATAATAGACTCAATAAAGGTAGTGGAAACATTTCCTTCAATTTTCGCAATGCAACTAAGAAAGGTCTTATACAAGAGTTAGGCACATTTCTTTAAATTTCCTGGTCATGTTATTAAGTTTGTCCAAAAGCAACTAAGAAAGATACAA